CGCTTGGGGCCGACGCTAAAACTGTCGCGCGTGCTCAGCTGCTGCGTCGCTGTCCTCGTCGAGCAGTCAAGCTGCCCGTGTGGCGGCTGCGCCAAATCTTAGCTGCCCAGGGGGCAAAAGGCCGGCGCCCCGCGGCCCTCGCACGATCGCGGTTCGCGTTTCCTCTGTCAGCGGCGCGGTAGCCATAGCGCCCTGGCGCGGCCCCCAGTCAGACTTCTTGCGCATGTACCTTGCGCCATATAAGACCGAAGCTGAGCTCCTCCAGCCTCCGCGGGCAACGAAGGCACGGGCGCGCTCGCCCTGGACTGCGACGCGCGACTCATCGCGCAGGGACCTGACTTCCGCGGCAGCCGCTATGCAGAATTCACCCCCTCCCCAAATTCCCCGAACATCCGCTCTTGACTTCTATCATGCATGCCCAGGAACACTCCTGATACAAATTTAAGCTCCATTGCGAATTCCCTTTGGTTCTGGCTCGAAGCAACGCGACGCGCTCCGCGAATTCCCGCGGCGCCTCGCCGAGCTCGCACCCGCGGCGCCGCCCGCGGGCGATTCCGCCATCCACGCCAGCAGTGGATTGGCTGATCAGTGACGAAGCGCGCGCCGCCATCCAAAGCATAAGATGGCGATCCTCGGCGGGCTGTCTTATGGTCAGCGCCCTCTGCGACCGTCGAAATTCTAATCTGCTGTCGCAGCGACCTCACCGCTCTCTCGACATCTTCGTTGACCGCTGATTCTCTTGCAATGATGATGTCATGCCCCATGGCCGCCGACGCCGAGGGCATCGCGGCCCCCTTTACCACCGTTGCCCGCGAGCATAGGTGCGCATTGCCCGGCGGAAAGCGTCATATCCCTCTTGACTTTGGACCTAAAGCTGCCGCCCTTTCCGCGGCTGCCACTCTGCCCCCCGCTAACTTGGTTTTCCTGCAGTGCATGACCAGCGCTCGGCGGCAAGGCCACGAGACTGCACCTCCCTCCTTTTTGCCCCCAAAGCAACGCTTGCCCGAAAAGGTTCTGGGATGTATTTTGAAGATCTGCGCGGGCGCGCCGCCCTGGCGGCTACGCGGCCGCCCGCGCCGCCCAGTCGCCGCCCCGTCGCCGCCCGTCGCCTGGGATGGCGCGCCGCTCTGGCGGCCGCGGGGCTCGCCGCCATCCCGCCGCCGCCCCGCCGCCGCCTCGCCGCCGCCCCGTCTCCGCCAAGATCGCCCGGGCCTGTCCGACGCTCTGGCCGCCGCGTCGCCGCGCCGTCGTCGCCAGGATTGCGCGACGTAGATGGCGCAACCTAGACCCCCCCCCTAGAACGCTATGCGGGCACCCCCCGGATTAATATATCACGCGCGATTATGTCCCGTCGTTCACCCCGGGCACGAATTCAATCCGCACCGGCCAGGCAAGCCCCCCCCCACCCCACCCTCGCCCCTCGCGTCGCAAACTTCCGATTCTCAGAAGCCCCAAAGCAAATGACAACCAACAAAAAAACACGCAAGCGCGCGTCGTCGCGCGCGCGCCGAAATCCTTCGAACGCCCTGGCGCGCATGCTGGGGGGGGCGCGACCCCTGTCAAAGAATGCCACGTCGGCCGCGCGCGCGCGTCGACATCCTGCCAGAACCTTCATCGCCGACGCGGCATGATCAGCATCGGCATGATCAGCATCGGCGTCATCGGCATCGGTATGATCAGCACCGGCGTCGTCATTTGGCGTTCATCGTCGTCGTCGTCGCCAGCTCCGGTGGAATCACACCCGCACCCATGTTGCCGCGCGTCCTCGCGGCCTTCGAGACGCGCTGGGATGTCCCCAGCGGCCAGCGCCACCGCGGCCGCGCCGGTCGCGCCAGACAAGCCGGCCGCAACCAGCGCCAGGCAATTGCCGCCCCAGGGCTTGCACAAACCAGGTTGCGACTGGGCGGGCGGGGCGATTGCTCGAGCAATGGAGTTGGCAACACACTAATGAACATTGATGAATTGCACCGCGCAGCTTGCGCCACATAACTTGCAAAACAGCGATTTCACCACATTGTGGAGTCCAACAACCGTATAGCGAAGCGCCACGAAGGCCTCCCCGCTGTCTCTGGAAGCAGCCCCAGAAACCTTGAAAGGAGCTTCCGAAGGAGCTTCTGGTAAGCGTGATGGCAGAACTGCCCCCAAGAAGCCCCCGAGGCCTCCCGCGAGATCCCGACGGAATTCCACTAGGCCCCACGCACTCAGCCCAGGCGCGGTGGCGGGATGAGCCGATTAGATCAGAAGCTCTCAAAGGAGAATCCCTGCCGTTGAAAATCTGCCAAACTTGTCGCCTCATCCACGTGCTACACAGGCATCCCTTCCTTTTCTTTCAGGACACTGCAATTTGCCCCGCGAACACTCGATGTCCATGGGCCGCCAATTGCCTTCCCCGCCATATTATCCACGGTAACTCCCTTGGCGGGCCCCTGGCTCAAGACGTTATTCCTCTCCGCGGGTCCCCCAGACCGCCGTGCTTCGCGTCGGCGCCCAAATCGTTTCTTCCCGAGCCCAATCCTCGCATCGCACATTCAACTTCTCGCGTGCCAGCGATCGAACTGCCCCCTAGCGCGGGCCGCAATCGCGTTCAGAGACGTCACTCTGAAGGAACAGGCAGTTCTGAATATGTACCATACTCTTACTCCTCTACTAGCGCACGCCACTGTTCAAGTCAAACCGATGCGCCACTAATCTGCTCAGGCCTGTCTGGGTCAATGGGTGGGCTCACCTTCGCCGATAGCGCCGCGCTCGCTACTGCAGAATACCGTTCGTAGGTTTTCACGCATGCAATCAATCCTTCGCCTTCCTCAAGACCGCGCAGCTTGCCCCGCGCCTCGACGCGCTCCAGTCTCTCGGCGAGGAGGCGCCATGGGACCTCAGCGGCTAGTCGCGCAGCCTTTCGGCCGTGCGGCGAAGACGCGGTCGGCTCGCCGCCGGAGCCTCCCGGCCCCAGCGGCGAATCGCGAAACTGATTCGTAATCCACTCACTGACGAGGCTCCTGCTCGAGACTTCCAAAAACATAATGCCCCTGGAGTGTGGAGAGAAGACAGGTGCAGATGTTGGATGAGCCCCACCCCTGTGATTAGTCACATCATCCGGGGGCCCTTTCATAGGGAGTGGACCCCGCTCGAGGCTTCCTCGCAAATCACTCACGGACGAGGTATGAGTGCACGAATGATGACGACATGATGACGATGGTGACGATGACGATGATAATGCTGTGGGGCGTGTGGTGTCTTTCTGCGCGGGTGGGTCCAGACAAAAACACACACACTTTTGATGTAGGGGGGAAACTCCCTCCGATTGCCCTCCATCCTCCTCCTCCTCCGCCTCTTCCTCAACCTTCTCACCCTCATCCTTGTCAGAACCGCCCTCCCGCATAATCCGATTCCTCAACTTCCTCCTCTTCCTCATCCGTCACCTCCTCCGCCTCCCTTCTCCTCCATCCCCCCCTCCCCAAGCCCCCACTCCCTCCTCCTCCTCATCCTCATCTCTCGCCTCCTCACGCACGGTTCCGTCACAGCCACCTCAGAACTCCTCGTCCCACTCAGGACCCCTCACCATCGCAACCATAAATCACCACCATGACCATAAACCATCATACTTATCATCATCGTCAGAGTTAGCATCCCCATCATCATCAGTATCAGCATCATCATCGTCATCGTCAACGTCACCATCACCTTCCTCATCGTCATCCTCATCCTCATCCTCATCCTCATCCTCATCAGCTTCATCATTAGCACACTCAGCATCAGCATCTTTGCCAGCGCATTCAACTTCCATCATCACCACCATCAGCATCAGCATCAACATCGACGTTTATCGTCATCATCATATCCGTCATCATCAGCGTCACCATCGTCATCGGCATCGTCACAAACACCACCATCGTCATCATCATCATCACCAGCATATCCTTCAGCATCATCATCAACACCATCAGCATCAGCATTATCATCATCAGCAGCATCAGCATCAGCATCATCATCCTCAGCATCAGCACCATCAACATCTCACCAATGTCATCATCATCGCCATCGGCATCGTCATCATCATCGACAACACCATGATCATCGACAGCATCATCATCATCAGGGTCGGCGTCGTCACCATCATCGGCAACATCACCATCATCACCATCATCATCACCGTCAACATCACCATCATCATCGTAATCGTCATCATCAGCATCATCAGAATCATCCTGACCATCATCTTCGTCGTCACCGTCATCGTCATCATCATTACTATCTTCATCATCACCATCATCATCACCATCACCATCGTCATTGCCATCATCATCACAATAATCATCAGCATCATCATCTTCATCATCATCATTATCATCATCAGCGTCTTCATCATCGTCGTCGTCATCATTATCATCGTCATCGTAGTCTTCATTATCAACATCATCAACAGCATAATCATTGTCATCGTCGCCGTCACCCTCACCATCATCGTCATCATCATCTCCATCATCAATATTCATCATCATCACCATGTTTACCACCATCACCATCACCATAACCAGCATCATCATCAGACCATCCTCATATCATCATCAACAACATCATCACAACATCATCAACATGATCATCATAGTTGTGGTCGACGTCACGGGCATCGTCATCGCCGCTGTCACCATCATTAGTAACATCACCATCCATGGAATCCTTCGCAACATGCTTCGGAGGAGGAGACGGAGAGCCGTCCATGAGTATAAGTACGCCGCCGGATACGACGACGACGACGACGACAACCCCGACGTCCAAGACGGCGGCAGAGGCGACGACGGCAATCACGACCACGGCACCACTCGGCGCTACGGCCACGACGACGACCACCACCACCACGGCCAACATTGACGACGACCACCACCGCGAGGGCGACCACGGCCACCGCTTCCTCTACTTCCACCACGACGACGGCGCCCGGGGCGACGGCATCGACGACGACCAGGCGGCGACGACGACCAGGCGGCGACGACGAGCGCTTCCTGCAGTCGCCGCGACGGCGGCGCGCGCCGCCGCTGCCCGCGCGGCCGCCGCCGCCGCTGCTGGCGCGGCTGCCGCCGCAGCTCCGGCTGCGGACCGGGCTGCGGCTGTCGGCCCTGCGGCCGCGCCCGCCTGCGGCGACGGCGACGACGACGACGACGACGACGACGACGAACGACGAGGTGTGGGGACTTCCGGGACTTCTGGAAGAGCTGATGGGGGACCTCCCCTGAGATGTTTGCGTCGCTTTCTCTTCCAATGCCCTTTTTCCCCTTCGGGGAGGGAGTTACCCCTCCTCCTACAACCTCCCCTGGACCTGGACGGGGGGGTTTCGCGACGCGCTGGAGCGTCCAAGATGGCCCAAGACGGCTCCAAGAGCGCCTCAGAACGCCATAGACGACCTCCAAGATCGCTCCAGATAGCTAATGGCTCCCCAAATGGTCCAAGAGGCCCCAAGAACGCTCCAATACGGCCCCAGGTGGCCATGGAGCCTCCCCAGGGGGCCGCCAAGAGGCCAAAATCCTTCCAAATCATGAGGGAAACAACTGTTTTTGTTTTCTCGCCTTTTCGCTTCCAATGGCCTTTCCGAGGGCTCAAGAAGGCTCCAAGATGGCCCAAGAGGGCTTCAAGACAGGCCCAAGAGGCCTCCAAGACGGCCCCAAGAGCGCCCAAGAGCGCCCCAAGAGGCGATTTTAAGCACTCTAGAAGGGCAGCCTTAATTAAAGCTCCCCTCTTTTCTGATCTATGTCTTCAAGATGGCTCCGAGAGCGCCCCTCAAGCTCCCAAGAGCGCCCCAGGAGGGCCAAACGAGACGGCGAGACGCCCCCAAGAGGTGTTCAATCCTCCAAGCAGCTCCCAAGAGGCCCCCGAAACGCTTCAAAATTGTCACCATGGTCGTCGTCGTCGTCGTCGTCGACCGTCGTCCAGGTCATCAGCGTCGTCGTCGCCGTGCGGGTCGTCGTCGTCATTGTTAGGGTCATCGGCGTCGTCGTCGTCACCGCCGTCGTCGTGGTCGTCGTCGCCGTCGGGGTCGTCGTCGTCGTCGTCGGGGTCGAAGTCGTCGTCGTCCTGGTCGTCGTCGTCGTCGTGCTCGCCGTCGTCGTCGTCGTCGTCGTCGCCGTCGTCGTCGTCGTCGTCGGGGTCGTCGTCGTGGTCGTCGTCGTTGTCGCGATAGTAGTCGTCGTCGTGGTCGTCGGGGTCGTCGTTTGGGTCGTGGTCGTCGTCGTCGTCGGCGTCGTTGTCGTCGGGGTCGTCGTCGTCGTCGTCGTGGTCGTTGTCGTCGACGTCACTGTCGTCGTCGTCACCGTTGTCGTCGTCGTCTGGGTTGTCGTCGTCGTCGTGATCGTCGTCGACGTTGTCGTCGTCGTCCTAGTCGTCGCCGTCGTCGCAATAGTAGTCATCGTCGTCGTCGTCGTGGTCGTCGTCGCCGTCGGCGTCTTCGTACTAGTCGTCGTCAACGTTGTCGTCGTCGTCGTCGCCATCATCGTCGCCGTCATCGCCATCGCGAAAGTAGTCGACGTCGTCGTCGCCGTTGTCGCGATAGTAGTCGTCGTCGTGGTAGTCGTCGTCGGCGGCGTACTCGTCGTACTCGTCGTCGTCGTCGTTGCAGTCGTCGTCGTCGTCAAGGGCGCAGAGGGGCGCAGGCGTCGTCGTCGTCGTCATCGTCGTCATCGTGGTCGTGGTCGCCGTCGTCGTCGTCGTCACCGTCGTCGTCGTCACCGTCGTCGTCCTCGTCGTCGTCATCACCGTCGTCGTAATCATCGTGGTCGTCGTCGTTGTCGTCGGTACCAGCATGGTTGTCGTCCTCGCAGTGGTAGCAGTCGTAGTCGTTGTCGATGCCCTCTGCGTTGAAATCGTCGTCATCGTCTTCGTCGTCGCCGCCGTAGTCATCGTCGCCATCCCCATCGCTGTCGTCGTCGTCGTCGTCGCCGAAGTCGTCGTCGTCGTCGCCGCTGAAGTGATCGTCGTCGTCCTCCTCCACACCGTAGTCGTCGTCGTAGCCATCGTCGTCGTCATCGCCGTCGTTGCCGCCGTCGTAGTCGTCGTCGCCGTCGTACTCGTCATCGTCGTCGTCGTCACCGTCGTCGGTGTCGTCGTCGTCGTCGTCGTCGTGGTCGTCGCCGTTGCAGTCGCCATCGTCGTCGTCGTCGTCGCCGTCGCCGTCGTCGTCACAGTCGTTGCCGGCCCTGGTTGTGAGTTCGTCTAGTTCGTCGGCTGCACCCATCTTCGCGAATGTGGTTAGTAGTGCCCTCCTAGCTGCGCCTCCTAGTAAGTCCCAAGTAGTATCTGGAATCGGTTCTGCAAGGGCCTCCTCCCACCTGTCCCTGCCCACCGCCTGCAGCTCCTGGTCCAGCTGTTGTATCAGCTGGCCGCGTTTGCGCCCGCTGCGCAGGCAATCCATCAACCCGTCCCTGCATAGTCCGTGTTGTTGGCGGACGCGGGGTGGGAAGGCGGTGGTGGAGGTGGAGGCGAGAAGGGTGAAGCCAAGCGGAACGTGGTCGCGGTGGCCTTGCACTCTGATCTTCTGTAGTCGTTTGCCTGATAGGTGTAGTACTTCGCACCGCTTGACTAGGGGGAGGCTACCAGTACGAATCGCAACGTGGTCCACCCTACTGGTGTACCCAGAGTGTCCGTAGTAGGTAGCCCCGACATTGTAGTGGATGGTGACGATACTGAGATCGCTGGCTTCGCACAGTTCTCTATACAGGGTCCCGTTGGTGTTCTCTACCTTGGGTTGGTGGGGGCCCCCAGTGGGGCCCTTACTGCAGACAATGGAACCGTCGAGTTCCCTATGACAGCCGAAATCGCTGATGACGTCGCCCCGTAGTGCGGCATCCTAGCTTGTCTGTACGTTCTTCCAACCAATGAGTAAGACTGTCAGCCAGCAGAGGGTAGTACCGCTGATGGGTAGGGGCGTAGTAAAATACGTAGACGGCGTAGTCGCAGTGGGTCGTAGTAAGGCGGACACTTGCCGCTCGTCCCTAGAAGTAGTTGGGAGGGGTGTAGATATCTCGGATGGCTCTCTGGTCTATTCTGTGGCTCATTAGTATGGCCGTCCCGCAGCTTTTGTTGACCCACTTCCCCTTTCGGGCCCCGAACTGTAGGACGGTGTGGGAGGGAAGGTAGTTACGTTTCATATCCTCTGGTCCCGCCCAGCGACACGTACCACTGAGTAGTATGACGTCCCAGCTGTGGAGTTCGGCACTGGTATCTTGGAGTCGCTCCAGGGTCCCAGCCTCCAATGGATTGTAGTAGCAGATTCTCATCGTACGATGGTGACGGACGCCGCCATGAGGCCCCCCAGTCTCCCTGCTCCCGAAGCCTGTGGTCTGGGGGCGCAACGGTGCTGCTGCACACTTGTACGTGAGGTACGGTCGGTATGTTTTGTGACCCCCCCCGCAGCGACCTAGGAGGAGGAGGAGGAGGAGGAGGAGGAGGAGGAGGAGGAGCAGGAGGAGGAGGAGGAGGAGGAGGAGAGCGGACCAGGGATGCGGCATGAGGGGAGAGCGGCCGCGCAGTCCGCGACTGCGCGGCCACTGGGCCAATGGGGCAGACTTCAAGCACTGGCATCAGGCCAGGAGTCCAGGTGCCGAGGCCGGCGCGTCTCCCCTGTCTCGTCGGTTCGCTCCCCGGCGGGCCTCCCTTGTCGTAGCGCTTGACAGCCTTGGCGCAAGATCGTGGAGAGATCAGGAAGGCGCGCCTCAGAGGAGGGAAAGGTACCCCATGCCTCTACCCTTCCCTCGGTTTCCCTTTTTGGGAGGCCCTCGTCGCCACCGCCAGATTCGCCTCGAAGTCCTGGTCAGAACGCACCCAGGAAGAGGCCCAGGAAGTAGCGATTTCGATATCGTTTGGCTTCCCCAGCGCCTACACGTGGGACGGAAGCAAAGCGTGCAAGGTGGGCGTGTAGAGGGGGCAGTTTAGATAGGACAGGACATGCGAGAACGCATCAATAACCTATCGTGTCCGTGGCGGCTTTCGTTGCCGACTGCAGCGAGTGTAGCCGTGGTGAAGTGGAAATGGTGCCTGCAACTGCGGCGATGATGCCAACTACTCCGATGTGTCCGTCCATGTTGCTGGCGGTTACCTCTACCTTCACGTCGAAGCCGAGACTGCCACAGGGAATGAGGCAGGAAAGATGAAGACGAACGCTATGATCAAGAAAATAATGACTGCAATGACATCGCCGACGACAGCGCCAGCATTGCCACCAACGCGGTCGTTTGTGAGAAACTGACCACTCCGTGCACCAAGTCTCGTGCCCGATCAACCTCTCCTCCCCCCATACACATTCAGTGCAACATTTGCTACTGCTGAAACTTCTGCTGCTCGTCCACATCCTCATCCTCCTGCGCGAGAGATGCATTACTGACGCAGCCAGTTGTACAACGGTTCGGCAAAGCGGACAGTGAACTCACAGAGGATGCGATTCGCACTGCGAGTCCCCTGCCGTCCCACGCCCCACGCATCCGTATGCTGAACGGCGACCAGGACGCGATCACGACGACGACTGTGGCAAAGGCCAGGACGAGGACGACGACGGCAACCGCGTCACGGCAAGGAGCCGCCAGACCCACCGAGCCCTGGCTGTCAGGCGCCAGGGGCACGGCAGGACGTGCGGCAGGGCCTCCACCCCGCCCCCCGACGAGAACGGAGTATGTCCACTGCCATCCTCCTCCTCCTCCTCCCACCTCCTGCCCTCCTGCCCCCCCCCCCCCTCCAACCTGCGCGTCACGCTGCTATTGCAAATCCCGCGTCGCGGGTCGACGCGGGCGGGGGCTCCCGCGGAAATCGCTTGGCTCTTGCCCTCGTCGCGATTGCCCTGCAGTCGTTCCGAGTCCGAGTCCGAGCCCTGCCCCTCGTGCTGCTCCGGCTGCCCCTCCTCTTGCTCCAACTCGTCCTGCCTATGATGCTGGTCCTCATGCTGCTCCTGCTCCGTTCTCCTCCACCCCTCCTCTCCCTCGCCTCCTGTCTCTCCTCCTTCTCCTCCACCCCCTCCTCGCACATCCTGCGTCCCTCCTCCCTCCTATTACCAAGCCCCCTCCCTTCTCACCCTCGATCCTCTCACCTTGTTTCCTCTGTCGATGAGTGAGAGAACGTGTGTTATGACCAACGTATGTTTGTCAACCGAAGCACTTGGATACGGCGCAGGCGGCGCAATGAGGATCGACACTGGCTGCGTGCTACTGGTGAAGCTGAACGGGTAAGACACACAAACACACACACACACACTAACACATGTCCTGATAATCATCAATTATTACTCCCCCCTCCTCCCTCCTGCCATCCCTACGTCGGTCTTCATCCTCGCTTCCCCTTCTCCTCCTCCTCCTCGTCCTCCTCGGCCTCCTCATGCTTCTCCTCCTCTTCCTCCTCCTATTAATCCTCGTCAACATCGTGTTCCTCCAGCTCATCTTGACTCAGCCGTTCTGGACAGACTCGGCGGCTACGAGGCAGCGCAGCTGTGTGTCGGCGATTAACAGGTATGATCCTCTCTGGGGGCTGAGCACGGAAGCCGACCGCATTCGTCACAGACTGCCTGCTACCTTGCTGGCATGTGCTGATGTAGCCGCAAGCCAAAGAGCGTCGAAACCCAAAGATCTGCGAACGGACGCCTGGCCCTGGTGCGATCTGAGAGAGCGTGCAAGCAGTCCTTAGAAGCCAGAGCGGTTGCAACACTGACTGCAGGCAACGCTTGCAGAGGCCAGCGCGCTGTAATCTTCTGCGGTGGCTGCAAACTCATTGTGCCCACAGTTCGACCCGTGGGCATCAGAGGCGCGCGTGCGAGCCATGTTTGTCAAAAGTCTGGAAGCGTTGATGAATGGACACGCACCACCTGTGGAGCCATAGGCACGCACGAACAGAGCACTGCAGAATCCACCGTCTGAGTGCCTCCGAGTGTCCGAAGTTATCTTCCAAGACTCGAGGAGGATTCACCTCGGCAAGTTGCGCCAGAGACTGCACCCTGGGACCTCTGCAGCAGAAATGCTCTCAGCTTCGCTGAAGCGCGTCGCTGGCAAGAGGAGCATGAGATGGATAGCTAGCTCGAGGAACAGTCCTCATTTTCCTCTTCCCATCCTGCTGACTCCTCTTCCTTATCCTCCTCATGTTCCCCATCATTGTATCATACCCAGAGAACCACGCAGAGTCTCTTGGAACCCCCCCTAAACAACTTCAGACACGATAGAACCAAGCTACTTCTGCCCGGCTCCCTCTTCCTCCCTAACTCCACCGTCGCTCATCCATTACTCCTCGTCGCAATGGATTCCTTCCCCTCCTATTCCTGCTGGTCATCGACCTCGTCACCATCATCATCGCCACCACGCCACCACCACCACCACACCCAGTCAGAACAACAAACGCAAAAGCATCATCCTCAGCATCATCACCACCTCCACCGATAACAGCAAGAACATAGCGTCATCCAACTCATCAGCACCAACGCAACGGTCGGCGTGGTCACCTCTATCGCATGACAACTCCCGTCGTCGTCGTCATCGTCATTATCATGTTCATCACAACCATCACTCCCATCATACCCATCACAGCCATCACCATGATTCCCTGACCTCACTCCTCGTCCTCCTCCTCCTCGTCCTAATCATCAACAGCAGCATATCGCCATCATCGGCATCGCCATCATAATCATGATCAGCATCAACGCCGCCGCCACCATCAACATCACCATCACGATTATCATCACCACCACGACCATCATCATCATCATCATCATCATCATCATCATCATCATCATCATCGTCGTCATCATCATCATCATCATCATCATCATCATCATCATCATCATCATCACCATGATCGTTGCCGCCACCACCACCATCATCATCACCCTCATCATCATGGTCACCACCATCATCATCATCAGCAGGAGCATCATCATCAGCATCATCATAATCATCGTGGTCCTCAGCATCATCATCAACATCCTCAGCATGAGCACTACCATCATCCGCATCAGCATCATCATCATCGTCATCCTCATGGTGGTCATCATCATCATCATCATCATCATCATCATCATCATCATCATCATCATCATCATCATCACCGTCACCGTCCCCGTCACCATCATATGAATAATGAGAATCATCATCAGCATCATCAGCATCAGTATCAGCATCATCATCCACATCCTCATCCTAATCCTCCTTTCATCACAGTTATCAGCATCATCATCAACATCGCCAGCATCATCATCAGCACCATCATCAGCATCATTAGCTCCATCGTCGTCGTCATCATAATCATAAATACCATCAGGACCATCATCATCATCATCAGCAGCATCAGCATCATTATCATCATGGTCATCACGGCCGTCAGCATCATCATCATCAGCATTACCACCACCATCATCATCTTCATCATCCTCATCATCCTCATCACCATCATCCTCATCCTTTCTCTACTCCGAGCCCATCGGAACCCTAACAAGCACCCCGTACAAACATCTCAGACCCCAATGCCTCCCACCCACCGCCCTGGCTCCCGCCCTCCCCCGCTCCCCGTCCTCCCATGCCCCCTCTCTCGGGGGCGCGCAAACATGGATTAGCGATCCATGGATTTGGCGCGCGGTCGCCAAATCCATGGATCGGGGGAGGTGCCCTCCCCAAAATGCGGCCAGTGCCGCCTCGCTCGGCGGCGGAAATCGTGATTCGCCATGAAAACGGGACCCGTCGCTAGTCCACGCCCCCTTGATTCATGTTTGCGATCGCCCCCTCTCCTCCTTCCCCCTCCACACCCTCCTCCCCCGTCCGCTGAGCCGACGACGTTCGCGCGCCCGGCGTCCATCTCCACCTTCCTGATGCGGGAGACCACGACAGCGGTGGGGTTCCGGCAGCGCTCGGGGTTCAGGCCCTCCTGCCACGGACGAAGACGACGACACAGACGGCGACGACGACGACGACGACGAGGACGACAACGGAGAGAAGACGACGACGACGACGACGACGACGACGACGACGACGACGAGACGACGACGACGACGAGAACGACGATGACGACGACGACAACCGCGGCCGTGCGTGCAGGCGCGAGCCTGTGCCTGTTGTTCTTCACGATGGCCACCCTGCTTGGGGCGAGGAGGAGGGGACAGGAAAGGAGGAGGAGGACAACTGCAAACCCAAGACGCATCAACGATGTTGAAATACACCCTCCGCCCAAGTTCCATCTTCATAGGCCTCTGCAAGGGTTCATCTCCACGGAGGGAAGTGCGCCGTGGCCCCGTTGGGGGACAGCCGTGTAGAAATCTGGACGCGTGCCAACAAAAACACCCTCAGGACGCCGACGCCACCAATCAACCTGACTGTTGCGTCTTGACGACCCTGAATCGAGCCAGAACACCATGCCGAAGACTTCAGCACCGCGAATAAACGTAACTGTTGCGCCCTGGCAATCCTGAGCCGTTCCCAAACATCATTTCTGGATGATTAACCATGAAAACCATGGAACGACTGTGCGCGGCGCTAGGGCGAGAACCACATGTTGGAAAGGAATCGCCCTCAATCCGTGAAGTCCTTGCAGATTTCGAAAACGAATGCGCGAGACGCTAATGCGGGATCCACAATTTGAAAAGGAAGCGCCCTCAATCCGAATAACTCTTCAAAAACTTTGAAACGAATGTGCGCGGCGCTGAGGCGACAACCACAATCTAAAAGCCACCTGTCCTCAACCCGCGAAACCCTTGCGCACTTTCAAAGAATGAATGCGCGCGGCGCTAAAGCGAGAACCACATTGAGAAAAGGAACCGCCATCAATCCGTTAAGCTCTTGCTAATGTTGAAAACGAATGAGCGCGGCGCTAAATCGAGAGCAACATTTTGAAAGCGACCCGCCCTCCACCTGGGAGCCTCTTCAGTGCGAAAACTTCAGGCTAACCAATGGCACAATACAGAGGACTCGAGCGAAACACCCTGCCCGCCCATCCGACTGGCCTCGGGGTGCGCGGAGCGAGCAGGAATGCGGGAGGAAGGAAAAGAGAAAGACGGCAGCGCCGCCAGCGCCGTGATGCGCCAGGACCCCCGCCAGGGCCGAGTGGCGGAGAGGCCGTCGCCCTCCGCGTCACGGCTCTGCTGGCCAGAGCTCGGCTGGCTGCTGGTGGTGGTGGTGAGGAGCCCCACCACCACCAGAAGTTGGAGGGGGGGAGGAGGAGGACGAGGAGGAGGACGGAGAGGAGGAGGAGGACGGAGAGGAGGAGGAGGAGGAGGAGGAGGAGGAGGAGGAGGAGGAGGAGGAGGAGGAGGACCCCCCCCTCCAACTTATGGTGGTGGTGGTGGAAGCCAATCCCATCAGTTGTGAGCGCTGACGTGCAGCGCGGAGGCACCGCGGCCGGAGGCCGCCCCGCAACCCCCGCGCAGCCGGGGCGCAGGCGGCGCGCCGCGCCCGTGGAAGAAGCGGCGAGAACGCGGATTCGAGCCTGTGGAGGAGGACGCCAGTCAAGAGGCCCTGGGACACGCAAATAGATACACACATACATAAAAGGATTCGCCATGGTTTCCCACATGTTCTGGGTTTTCCTGTCTTCCCCCCCCTAGCCATGATTGCCCATACTTTCGGGGGGGATTGACGACTACTTGTGTCTGTGTGTTCCTTCTCCTCCTGAGCTAGTCAAGGGAAGGGGACGTTAATTGGAAGCTTGTAAATTGACACCAACACCAACACAGGGCGTTGTCTCCACCAGGGGGGAGCTCGTCCTGGATCTCGGTGTTGGCGGTAGTAGTGCGGCCACCGTGGAAGCCAGAATATCACCGCCATGACCGAGATCGGCAGATTCCCCCCTCGGTGGAGGCACGCCGCCGATGTCGGTGCTGGTGTCAATCTCCAGGCCTGCGACGTCAGGGCAAGGGAGGAGGACCTCCTGCCAGGCCTGTCGCAAAAAAAACAGGACGGGATTTTTGTTGGCTATTTTTGGTCCTGGGGGGCCTGGCCGGGCCTCGGGACCGTCAAAAAAACGACTCTGGAGTAAAAACCGGGGAAAGGGTCAGGACTTCCAGAGGCGCCGTCCTGAAAAAATCAGGACGTCGCATGTCTGGGGCTGTATCCCGCAATCTACACGTCGGCGCGAAGGGGCTGCAGCACCGCGCGCGGGGGCGCCGGGCGGTGCATCCGCCGGGCGCGGCTGAAATCGCGATCGCCAGAGAAATTCCGGATCGCGATGGCGATATCTCGCGCTGGGGGGCCGCCGGAGACGCCGAGGGGCCTGCCAGGAGCCGCAGGTGGGCTGCGGGCCGCCAGAGGCCGCGGCGACAACGCGGGGGTCCTGCGTGGCGACGTAGCCAAAAGTCGGGCGTGTCCCCCTACAAGGGGAACTTCGACGAAAAATAAAAAAAACTCCAACAATACCCAAACATGATATATATATATATATATATATATATATATATATATATATATAGTCCCCAGACTAGTTTTTACTATTTTTCGATATTCCCCCTGTAGAAGGACAGGCCCGACTTAACGTAGCCAGGGCTTGGGGGGCGGCTGCAATCCACTGGCGGGCGGCACGCCAGCGGTGGTCAATGACCTGGGGTCGCGCCAGTCGAAGCAGACGGGGTGACCCTTCGCGGCCCAGGAGGAGGTCTGCGTGATCGGCACGGGCACGAGCCGGGTGCCATGGCCGGGCGGGAGTCCGGATACTTCCAAGAACGCGACCCAATCATCGGAGCTCGTCATCCAGCCTCCTCCTCCTCCTCGTATTCCTCCTCGACCTCCTCCTCTTCCTCCTCGCACTCATTATTATCATCGTCCTCCTCCTCCTCCTCATCCTCCTCCTCCTCCTCCTCCTCCGCCTCCTCCTCCTTCTCCTCCTCCTCCTCCTCCTCCTACTTCTCATCCTCCTCGTCCTCCTGACGATGCTGTTGCTCCTCCTCCTCCACCTGCTCCGCCTCCTCCTCCTTCTCCTCCTCCTCCTCCTCCTCCTCCTCGTCTCCCTCCTCCTCCTCCTCCTCCTCCTCCTCCTCCTCCTCCTCCTCCTCCTGAAGAATGAAAAAAACAGCAGGGTGTCTGTGCCCCGGCTGCTCGAAAAGCAGGCGCGGAACGCCTGCGAAGCCTAGCTTAAATATGCCCCCTGGCCAGACCGGCCGGGGCGCTCAGGCGAACGGGGCGCAACGAGGCGCCTGAGAGGGCCGGCGAACAGGACCGGACACCAGGTGAATTCGATCGGACCTTAGCAACCAGCACCACATCCACCACCACCAGGAGGGGAAGGGAGGTCGTCAGAGTCGTCGAAGCCCGTCCCGCCGCCCGCCAGGCTGCCGCCCGCCAGAGGGAAAGGGGAGGGAAGGGGGGAGGACCCTGGTGGGCCCCAAGCGGAAAGAGCGCGCCCCCGAAAGCCCACCCGCCGAGGCCAGCGAGCGCCTGCATGATGGCGATGCCTAGGCGGCACGCCACCACCTGCAGCTGAGCCCGACGCTGAATCGAGCCCCAGCAACCTTAGTGATCCTCCTCTTCCTCCTCCTCCTCCTCCTCCTCCTCCTCCTCCTCCTCCTCCTCCTCCTCCTCCTCCTCCTCCTCCTCCTCCTCCTCCCTTTCGCTTCGCACTCAACGTCCCGCCCCCGCATATCGCCCTACGTCCGCAACCGTTTCCCATCTCTGCCTTCCCGCCTCCCTCCCTCCTTCCTCTCATCCTCCCCACCCCCGCGTTTTTGTCATCCCCCCCTTCACGCGATGTCATACCTCCCTCCCCCCAATTTCACACGATCTCATTTGTCCCTCTGCAATCATCCACCGAACTTCCTCCTCCAGATGGAAGAGACCGCGGGACTGTCCTCCAGGACCTTCTCGGCGTCTTCAGGGGCCATGTTCTGCATGATCCGCTTCACCTGACTGGCAAGGAAGGAGAGGAGAGAGGACAAGAAGGACAATGACGATAAGGACAAAGATGAACGACGATCCCTGTTTCTCGAGATGTCACAACAATAGTATTACACTGGGGAGCGCACAGCCGGCAAGTGTAAAGATATTGTCGATGTGTTCGTCGCTGATTGCACACATCTTCCCGTAGACTGAAAGAAACAATGGCTCTGACAAAGCAGGGAGCATCGAGAGGTACACCCAAACGGCAGCAAGCAAATATAATGAGTGACGATCCTTGTTTAACGAGATGCCACACTATTCAGAATGAATTTGGAAAGCGCACGGCCGCAGCGTATGTAGATTTTGAATAATAAATTCCCGCGCATTTTGCGCTGAGTACGCAGAGCAGCCCGAAGCCACATATATGCCCGCGCAACCCCCTTCCTCTGAGGGAAAGCCAGGGCCACACAGGAGGCCAGGAGATCAGATAGAGGGAGGCCAGAACGATCTGTATCTTCAAAGATAACGTTCCGAGGCCGCGAAGCGGAGCAGCGGCACCTGGGCACGGCCATATTATGAGGCCAATTCAGAAACAAAAAGCTTGTGTATGGCTGCTCCAGGGAACCCCGATTTGGCAGAAATCGGTGGCCTGAAAACTGGCACAAGGGAGGGCCCTCAAGGTCCGAACTTCCCGGGTAAGCCAGAGTCTACTCGCGGCAGGATCCTCAAGGCACGCATAGGTCCCGACGGAACACACGCACGCACAACTTTAGCATGATCACGGTCTCTCTCAGAGGGGCATGGTGAACTGAACGCGTAAGTCGTTGCTATCGCATCGCTTCGGCCATCTGGGGGCCCCAGTGCGCTCGCACCAAAGGTCACTCTGGCGAAAGGTCACTCTTACGTATAGCTGATCCATATGGATCCTTTCCCCATAGGCCTTCCGGCAACGGTCCAGACCAAGCGCGACCCCTCTGGCTCGTCGCGGCGCTCCGTCTCCGGCACACGCGCCTCTTGCGCAATGGCCCCCCCTTCCACTCGCTTCAACAGCGATGGGCTGGCCCGAAGACAATGGTGACCGTCTCCTCGGGAGAGGCGCCGCCGAGGAGCGAGCCCCCAGGCGACATCGCGTCGACCCGCCAGACTCCTGAGACCACGCCTGCCCGCACGGCGCTCGGCTACCAGCTGGCTGTATACTCGGCGGCGCGCAAAAGGGGGTGGAGGGAGGGGGGAAGGCTTCTTAGAAAGAGGTTCCTTCTTAGAGGGCGCCAGTCTTACATCTGTAGATAAGGACCGCGCCTTCTAAGAAGCAGGGGTGCTTCTAAGAAGCCCTCCCCCCTCCCCCCACCCCCCTCTGCGCGTGGCTGGTATATATATATATGTACACACACCAAGACTGCATTGGCGCTTCGCGCCATGCGCTTTGTTCCGGACCCTCCCCAGCAAAACAATAAATCATCGCTTGCTTCAGCGGGGGGGACCTCGAAGCTTGGACGGGCGACCGGTTCATTTTTCTGATATCCCTGGTGCCTGCTGACACCGCATTCGCCCGATGCGCTTGCACGCTTGTGCGCAGGAGTGGGGAAGGAATGATGTCTTTTTCGCGCGCGAAGGTGCTTTGAGGAAGTAAGGAGCGTTCCCATGACACGTCGACGATGTCGCAGTAGCTCCGAACAAATCGATGTTTGATAGCTTCCTGGATGCCTGGAGGGCTCCAGGCACTCAGGAAATCTTCGATCGTCGAACTTCGAATCTAGATCCATTGCCTGTCTCTCTCGATCAAAGAACTTTAACCTCGAGCCTCAAGCGTGAAACCAAGATCCTCGGGCCAGCTCGACATACTTCGTAAGAACACGCCGTCTGGGCGTTTTGGGGGTTCTTTTGGGCCATCCCGGGGCACTCTGGGGCCGTCCCAGAGCCTTCTTGGGCCGTCTTGGGGAGCTGGGACCCTCCAGAGGTCTTCTGAAGCCATCTAGGGCCCTTTTGGGGGCCTCCAATGGCCTTCTTGGGGGTCTCCTATGGCTTTCGTGCGTCTCTCTTGGGAGCCTTCTGGGGGCATCTCAAGCTTCTTGCGGGCAGTCTCGGGGCTCTCTCGGGCAGTCTTGGGGCCCTCTTGGGCCGTCTTCAGACCCTCTGGGGGGCCTCTTGGGCCGTCGGGCCGTCTTGGACGCTGCGAAGTCCCAAACAGCGGATATGTTAAACTCATACGTTTTCCCGAGGGAATGGGACGATTGTTGCTTCTTCGGGGCTCTCTTGTCAGCCTCTCGGGGCGTCTTGGGGGCCTCTTGGGCCGTCTTCAGACCATCGAGGTTCCTCTTGGAGCGCGCTTGTGCTGTCTTGGGTCTCTCTTGCGCCTCTCCGATGACCCCTCTGATCGCCCTGAGTCTGCTCGCAAGGCCCGGCAAGGCGCCCTGGGAGGCCCCGAAGGGCCAGCGGACCTTTTCCATGGGCGTCCAGTGGGGGCCGCTGAGACGTCCGAAAGGGCGTCCAGGGCGTCCCCGGGGGGGGAGTCCGGTTTAGAGGGGGGGGGGAGGGGGGGTCCGGGTAATAAAAATATTAGAATAGGAGTGTCTGCGAGGAGAGCAGTGGGCCCCTGACTGGTTCTGCAGCGTTCCACCCCAGCGAAGGGCGCAAAGCCCGTCGAGTCTCCACCTCGGGCGACGTCTGCAGGAGCGGCGCTGGAGGCAGGCGCAATGCTCAAACATTGCAAAAAAAATGCAACAAAAAATCTCCCGACTATTTTTTTACCATTTTTGAATATTCCTTCTGTAGAGGGACAGGCCCGACTTCACCAGCGATGTGAAAGCGACGGGGGCGATGCATCGGCGCCGTCGGCGCGGAGAATACCGGGCTCCACTGAGTATCGTTGAACCGATCCCCATCCCCAGCGGCGCGGCCTGGGCCCCAGTGGCCGATGTACCCCCCTAGATGGGAATATAGGTCGTTCCCTTCGGGTTTCGAGGGGTGTATCCCCAACTGGGGGGGTAATCTGGTGGGGGTCTCGAGGGGGATGGGGATGGGGATGGCGATTGGTTAAACGATGCCGACTCACATCGAGCCGCATCGTCGATGCATCGGCGGTTCGCCGCGACCCTCCGAACCAAAGTTGATCGGGCCCCCCTTTTGCGGGAGGCTGAAAAGAAAACGCGCGGTGGGCTCTCGCGGGCGGTCCCGTGTCGAGCCGGGGGGCGACCGCGCCAAGGCGATCAAAGGGGACTAGGCGAGGCCCCCAAGGGCGGAGGGGCCGGGCAGCGCGGGCCGAGGAGACAGAGGTCCATAGGGGGCCACTATCGAACCCTACCCCTACCCCCCCCCCACGATTTCTGAGGGGGTGGGGGTAGGGTTCGCAAGTGCCCCCCCCTTCCCTCAGAAATCGTGGGGGGTAGGGATAGGGTTCGCAAGTGGCCCCCTAGTCCAGGAGGGGCCAGGACGACAGCGCGAGCAAGAGTCCACATGGCTGGTGCCGGAAACGGAAACCCTGAAGCCACCATAGGAAAAATTACTCCGACGGTAGAACCCCATGCACGAAAATCTATTCAGCTTGCCCTTCGCGGTTTCCTCTTCGCCCTGGCGGAAGCCCTCCTCCCGCCCTCTGTTACGCCTCCTCCTCTTCCTCCTCGTCCTCCGTCCCCTCCTCCTTCCCGTCCTCCTCGCTACATGTCTTCATTCCTTGTTCTTATGAAGAACTGACTCCTCCCTGTCGCACCCCGAGGCCAGTCGGAAGGGCGGGCCGGGCGCTTCGCCTGAGAATTCCTTACCACTTACGAGCCTGAGGCTGAACAGCTGGCAAGAGCTTCACAAATGGAGGGCGGGTGGTTTTCAAGGTGAAGCTCTCACCTTAGCACCGCGCGCACTCGTTTCAAAATTCGCAAAAGCTTCACGGATTGAGGGCAACTCGTTTTCAAAAGGGGGGTCTCGCCTTAGCGCTTCGCACACTCGTTCTAGACATTCGCAAAAAAAACGGATTGAAAAGGCTCGTTTTTCAATTGTGGTTCTCCTCTCTTAGCGCAGCGCACTCTCGCTTTCAACATTCGCAAAAGCTTCGCGGATTGAGGGCGACTCGATTTCAAAATGTGGCTATCGCTCTAGATCCGCGCACATTTGTTTAAGCAGAATGCACGCTTGTCGCTGATTCTCATGGTTAACGTACCAGAAATGGTGTGCTGGAGCGGCTCTGGATTGCTAGGGCGTAGCAGTTTCGTTGATTTGCGGCGTTGCAGTCCCAGGAATGGCGCTCTGGCACGACTCAGGATCGTCAACACGCGACACTCAAGTGAACCCATGGCATCGAAGTCGTGAGAACTGTGCTTTGGCACGCTTCAGGATCTTCAAACAAACGGTTGTCTCCCAACGGGGTACTTCCCCCAATGGAGATGAATCCGTATTGGGGCCTTTGCAGAGGGAGCTTGGGGGGAGGATATGCTCCAAGTTCCAAGATCGCTGGTGAGTCTTGAGTTTGCACTCGTCCTCCTCTTCCTCCTCGTCCTTTTTCTTCCTCCTCCTCCTCCTCCTCCACATCTTTCTCCTTCTCCCCTTCTTACCTCTATACCAACTGTGCTCCTCCGGGCCGGGGCACGCATGTCGATGTTCCTCGACTCAGCCGCTGGGTTTCCACTCGCACCCCGGGCGCCCGATTCGGCCGCCAATCGGATGCAATCGGCGGCCAGGACGCGCCAGATTCGGCCGCGGATGGGTTACCACCCGCGACCCCTTGTCCCCCCCTCTGCGCCCGACCGTCGCCAGCCGTCGCCGTCGTTTCCTAAATTGCTGTTCCTCCTCCTCCTCCTCCTCCTCCTCCTCCTCCTCCTCCTCATCATCATCATCATCATCATCATCATCATCATCAGCATCAGCATCAGCATCAGCATCAGCATCAGCATCAGCATCAGCATCATCATCATCCTCCTCCTCATCATCATCATCATCATCATCATCATCATCATCATCATCATCATCATCATCATCATCCGATGGCTCGAGAGACAGGTCTGTGAGGGCCTGTGGGATGCCAGCTCGAGATTCCAGCTCCCAGGAGATGGTGGGAGCGCGAGCGCGAGCGCGCCGAAGCCTGCTCTCCGGATGCAGACAGCCCAGAGGAGCTCCAAAGTGAAGACGGCTTCAGAGTTTCGATGGCCCGCCTCGGACTCAAACATGAAGTGCGGGCCATACAGGGCTCCCGCTTGGGACTGCCTCGCGATTCAAACGAGGCTCCCACTCGAGGCTTCCTCCATATTCAAGCCAGGAAAAAACGAAACAAAAGAACTACGACAATCCCAGGGTTCCGATAACCCGCCTCGGATTTGAACATGAAGTACGGGCCCGATAAGGAGGGGGCTCCCGCTTGAGACCTCCTCGCATTCACTCTTACACGAGGCTCCCGCTCGAGGCTTCTTCCATATGCAAACCAGAAAAAAAAGTGACGACGGCTACAGGGTTTCGCAAACCCGCCTCGGAATCGAACGTGAAGTGCGAGCCCCAGGAGGGTGGTCCCGCTTGAGACCTCCTCGCGATTCACTCACACACGAGGCTCCAGCTCGAGACCCCCTCCATACCCAGGCCAGAGGAGCCGAAAAGTGACGACAATTACAAGGTTCCGATGACCCGCCTTGGAATCCAACATGAAAGCGAGCCCCAGCAGGAGGGGGGTCCCGCTTGAGACCTCCTCGCGATTCACTCACACACGAGGCTCCCGCCCGAAACTCCCTCATAATGAGTGCATGTGTAGGTGATGAAGATGATGATGCTGATGATGATGATGATGATGATGATGATGATGATGATGATGATGATGATGGTGATGGTGATGGTGATGGTGGTGGTGATGGTGATGGTGATGATGCTGGTGGTGGTGGTGATGCAGATGATGCGAGTGTGATTGTGATGATGGCGGTGCTGATGTAGTGACGATGCTGATGATGATGAAAATGATGATGGCGGTGGCCTTGATGATACTGATGATGATGCTGACCATGACAATGATGATGATGATGATGATGACGATGATGATGATGATGATGATGATGATGATGAGTGTGATGTTGACGACGCTGGTGATGGTTATAGTGATGGCAATGAATATGAGATGATGATGATACTGATGCTGATGAGTATCATCACAGTTATGGTGGTGATGATCGTGATGTCGATGAAGATGGTGACGATGATGGTGGTGATGATGATGGCTGTGGTGGTAATCAACGCGGTAAGAGCTATGTGGTTGGAGGTGCAACCTTTGTGGTGTAAGTTGTACGACGTAATCTGTGTTGTGCAAAAAAAAAGCAGGCTGTGCGGCGCAAGCAGCAGCGTGGAAGCGACGACGTGCAGGCTTCATGGTGTGAACCCACTCCACGGGGAACCCGCCCAGCGCACACGACTTGGCGCGGGCGGCAACGCGGCGCGACCTCGGCGCACCCGGTGCACGGGGCGCCCAAGAGGCAGCCACGAGCAACCGCGAGGCGGCACGGGGCGGGGCAGCGGTGCGGCAGCCCTCGGCGGGCCCACCCAGCGCACGGGGGCGCCCACGGAGAGCGCCCGCGAAAGGGCACCTCTTGCTGCCCCATCCTCCCCCACCCCCCGCACCCGCCTCATCCCCGAACGACGACGACGACGACGACGACGACGACGACGACGACGACGACGACGACGTTGACAACGGCGATAGCTAAAACGACAGCCCCTGGAGCCCAGCCTTCGGATCCAGCTGATGGTCGTCGACGAAGTCCGAGATGCGCTGGTCCAGGTCGCGGGAATGCCTGGCTGACAATTGCGACGACGACGACGACGACGACGACGAGCACGCCGATGACAACGAAGGGGGATAATCTGATGGTGATGACGACGATGGTGATGATGATCGTGATGATGCTGGTGCTGACGCTGACGCTGACGCTGATCATGGGGATGGTGATGATGCTGATGCTGCTGATCATGATGACGAATATGATAACAATCGGTACCCTGGTCGGCCGCAAGGTCCGCCCGCCAGGCGAGCCCGCCTAGCCACGGCCGAAAAGGGCATGTCTGCCACGCACGCAAGCCCGCGCGGGTCACAACGACTCCGCCCACGGCGACCAGGGCGGCGGCGGTTAGCAAGAGCGCCAAGGCCCACAGGATGGCGCCGGACTGGTCACGAGCTCCACCCCCGCGCGCTTGGTCCCCGCATCGAGTGCAACGTCTGGGCAAGGGCGCTTCAGGCGGAAGCCCACTGCGCGGTGCAAACCCATCTTGACCTGCAGCGTCCTCGCGGCCGGCATTCTTCGCCGCGCCCTCGCGCCGGGCTCGGCGAGCAGCGCGCGCCACAGAGGCCCCTTTTCCCCAAACGAGACGACTCCGATGAGCTTGTCGATGCAGTCGATGCCGAACGCCTCATCGAATTCCTGCGAGGCGGCGGCCCAGGGGAAGGCAGTTGCCCTCGACCTCCTCGGCGCCCTGTGCCCGACACTGTGGATGAGGGCCGCCGCGCGCCTCTGCCAGTTGGAGAGGGCCTGCAGTCAGGCCAGACAGCGCCGGCGGCACGCCTCACCGCGCTGCCCCGCCCTGGCGCAGATCTCCCTGGCCAACTGATCCGTAGTCTCGTGAGTCCTCGCTCTCGCGCTGTCGAAGCGGCCGTCGTGGAGCACCTCGGCGACGTGCGGCGCGCACCAAGTGGCCAAGACGCCCCCCGAGTCGGTCTCCTCGCCGACGCCCGCTTCAGGGGGAGGAGGAGGAGGAGGAGGAGGAGGAGGAGGAGGAGGAGGAGGAGGAGGAGGAAGAAGAGGAGGAGGAGGAGGAGGAGGAGAAGCCTGAGGGGCCTGGAGGAAGATGGGCAGACCGAGGAGGCAAGAACGGAACCGTGCACGGGGCCCCCATGCAGGCTGCTAGCAGGTCGCCGCCAGGCCGCTGGCAGGCTTCGGGCAGGCCGCCGAGGGCCGCCTGGGGCCGCCTAGGGGCCGCCGAAGTCCCCTCGAAGGGCCCGCCGCCGCAGGGCCGCCGAAGGGCCGCCCGAAGGCCGCCAAAGGCCGCCCCAGGGCCGCCGCAGGCCGCCGGAAGGCCACGGGCGACGGCCGGCGCAGCTCGGCGGCGAGGCGCCTGTCGGGCGAGCGCCTCCGCTCGGCCTCCGCGCCCGGCGGCCTGCGCGCCCTGCGCGCCGGGCGGCGGTCCTCCCGGCGGGGGCTGCGGCCTCCGCCACTGCGGCCCGCGCCCGCGCCGGAGCGGAACAGGCCCAGCGGACTCGGGCTGGTCTCCTCGTGCCGGGAGGGCCGGTCGTCCTCCTCGCGGGGCGGGGATCGGGCAGAGCGCCGCGCACGGCACAGCAATCAGCGCCGAGCGAGGAGGGGGAGCAGGAGGAGGAGGAGGAGGAGGAGGAGGAGGAGGAGGAGGAGGAGGAGGAGGAGGAGGAGGAGGAGGAGGAGGAGGGGAGTGGAGGAGGAGGAGGAGGAGGAGGAGGAGGAGGAGGAGGAGGGAGGGGAAGAGGAGGAGAGGAGGAGGAGGAGCAGGAGGAGGTGGAGGAGGAGGAGTAGAGGAGAAGGAGAGGAGGAGGAGGAGGAGGAGGAGGAGGAGGAAAAGGAGGAGGCCCCCATGGGAGGTGGGGGGGAGGGAGGGGAGAGGAGGAGAGGGAGGCAGGAGACGGAGCAAGGTTGGCGGCATGCATCGGGGGGGCTGGCGCGCGTGGCGCGGCCTTCTGAGAAGCCACGAGGGCTTCTCAGAAGGCAAGGGGCCCTCGTTAGAAAACCCTCCCCCCAGTTTCTACGAGGGCCTCTTGGAAGCCCAGAGGGGGCCCTTCAGAGGAGGCCCCCGCCTTCTTAGGAGCCCCCCTCTTTCCGAGAATGCGATCCCCCTCGCGCGACCCCTCCGTGCGCGCGCGCCACCCAGAAAGGGAGAGGAGGAGGAGGAGGAGGAGGAGGAGGAGGAGGAGGAGGAGGAGGAGGAGCAGCAGCAGCAGCAGCAGCAGCAGCAATAACAGCAACAACAGCAGCAGCAGCAGCAGCAGCAGCAACAGATCTGGGCTGGTCGATTTTCGGGTCATAATTCGGGCCTCCGGTGGCCGTTCGGGACGATCCAGACACCCCGGAACGCCCTGGGCGAGGTGCGGCTGCTGGAAGAGGAGGGAGGAAGAGCAGGAGGAGGAGGAAGAGGAGGAGGAGCAGGATGAGGAGAAGGAGGGAAGGAGGAGGAGGAGGAGGAGGAGGATGAGGAGGAGGAGGAGGAGGAGGAGGAGGAGGAGGACGATGACGAGGAGGAGTTGTAACACGCGTGCTCAAGCGTGCGCATGACTCGATTCCATTCGAGCTCATTGCATCCAAGGAACTGCAGCAATGAAGCCTGAGATGTCGTAGCGACCTGCTGGGGAGCAGTGCGGAATGCCTCTCGGGAAAGGCTCTGCAAGATCGGCCAACTGCTGCACTCTGCGCGGTGGCAGCACGGAACAGCAGGAGGAGGAGGAGGAAGAGGAGGAGGAGGAGGAGGAGGAGGAGGAGGAGGAGGAGAGAGTAGGAGAGGGAGAGAGGGAGTAGAGTGGGAGGAGGAGGAAGGAGGAGGAGGAGGAGGAGGAGGAGGAGGGAGATGAGGAGGAGGAGGAGGCGGAGGTAGGAGGAGGAGGAGGCGGAGGAGGAGGAGGAGGAGAAGGAGGAGGAGGAGGAGGAGAGAAGGGGAGGAGGAGGAGGAGTAGGAGGAGGAGGAGAGGGGGAGGAGAGGTGTGAGGAGTAGGAGTAGGAGGAGGAGGAAGGAGGGAGGAGGGATAGAGGAGAAGGAGGAGGGAGAGGAGGGAGGAGGAGGAGGCATGAGGGTGGGCAGGAGGAGGAGGAGGAGGAGGAGGAGGAAGAGGGGGGGAGGAGAGGAGGAGAGGTGGGAGGAGGAGGAGGAAGAGGAGAGGGAGGAGGAGGAGGAGGGGGGGGGGGAGGAGGAGGAGGAGGAGGAGGAGGCGGGAGGAAGAGGAGGAGGAGGAGGAGGGGGGGGAGGAGGAGGAGGAGGAGGAGGAGTAAGGATGAGGAGGAGGAGGAGGAGGAGGAGAGGAGGAGGATGAGGAGGAGGAGGAGGAGGAGGAGGAAGAGGAGGAGTGGCAGCGCTAGCCCTGGCCCGCAGCCACGAGGCCTCCGCGCAGAGGGCTGAAGGGCGCGAGCACGCACGGCGCGGGGTCGCGCCCGGCGACTCCAGGGCGGGCTCCGCCCGTGCTCGCGGCGTGGGGGGGTGGGCACGAGGTAAAAGCCTCGACCGAGGAAGAGGAAGAGGAAGAGAGGAGGAGGAGGAGGAGGAGGAGGAGGAGGAAGAGGAGGAGGAGGAGGAGGAGGAGGAGGAGGAGGAGGAGGAGGAGGAGGAGGATGAGGAAGGAGCAAGAAGGAAAAGGAGGAGGAAGGAGAGGAAGAGGAAAGGAAGAGGAGAAGGAGGAGGAGGAGGAGGACGAGGAGGAGGACGAGGAGGAGGGGGAGGGGGAGGAGGGGAAGGAAGGACTCGACTCCATTCGAGGGGAAGGCCTCGACCGAGAGGTGCGACAAAGGCCACGGAAGGACATACAGTGCGGGCGCGGCCGCAAGAAACCCTTGGGTACGAGGGGAGCGGGACGTACAGAGACATTCGAATACGACATGTCCTCCTTGGAGGCGCCCGTCTGCCCGAAGATATAGTATACCCATCTTGTAGTGCATCGGTTTCCGAGCGGTGTGGCCAGAAAACGCCCGCCACAAGCGCCCGCCACGACGCATATACTGTAAGATTTCTCGATGCGCGCGTCGCCCCTGGGGGGGCGACGCACATATAGTATAAGTATGCTGGGGTGACGCCGAGGAAAGGCTTCGACCGAGAAGTGCGACAAAGGTCACAAAAAGACATAGATTGTCAACCTTGTCCTTTCGGCCCCCCCGCTGGGCGCCCACCGTACGGGGGGAGCCGTCGTGGGCCGCGGGCGCGACAGGCGCGCCCCCGCGCCCCCTATCGCTGCACTTCCCGCTCGCTCCTGTCGCTCCGCCCCCCCTCCCACGGCCGGTGGACGCCTGCTCACAGCCCCGGCCCCGAGATCAAACCTGCCCTCTCCCCAGGGAGCTCGGCCGAGGTAACATTACGACTTGCCGTCGCTCGGACGTCCATTCCCTGTGCACTGTTCGGTTTCGTACGTGCTTCTGTTCGTTCGATGATCCAGGATGCTTCTCCAGGGTCTTCGCCGAGGAAAAAAAGCACACGTCCGAGCGATGCCAGGACGACTGGTACAGTGGGCAAGTTATCGAGCCCACATGTCTGAATCGCTTGCCTGGCCGGTAGAGGTCGAGAAGAACTCGCGCTGCCAGCTGGTGGCAGCGCGCGCGGCTCGCAGGAGGATGGAACGGGAGGGAGGGGCGATGGAGGAGGAGAGGCAGGGAGGAGCTAGAGGAAGAGGACGAGGAGCGAGGAGGAAGACGCGGAAGAGAAGGCTTTCCTCGGGGGGGTGGCCCAAGGCAGAGCGCAACAGGAACAGCAGCAGAAGAATCAGCAGGAGCAAGCTCTGGCAGCCTGCTCTCGTGCCTAGATGCGCTCGGCGAGCGCGAGGATCGGGCGTCGGCCGAACTGGCTTTAGTGGGACCTGGTTTAGCGATGTGTACTGGGGGACGCCCCCCCGCCCCGTTCCACTCACCGGAAGTGCCGTCACCCGAAAAAACACAGGCTACGGCAGACCTGGTCTAGTGATTCTGGCCAATCTGGGGGCTCCGGGGCCCAACCACTTAAACGGGTCCCCTTACTCGGGAGCGGCCAAGAGGGGGCTGTCCAAAAGGGGGGGGCCCAAATCATGACAAGCGGCACGTGCGCGGCCCAGCGGGGGGGACCAGGGACATAATGAAATAAGAAGAGGCGCCATGAAATCTGGGGGAATATCATGGCCCCCGCCATGATATACACACACACACACACCCTAGTCATCACTCCCCTCTTTGCCGCCCCCGACTTACCTGGGGTCCTGGCTATACCCGAGAGGAGGGAGGAGGGAGGAGAAGGGAGGCCCCCGCCCCGGCGCGTCTCCTCCCAGCAGGAGTCGGGCGAGCGGCCCCGCTGCCGCGGGCCACCGCCGCCGCCGCCCTGGCGGCGCGGGAGGCCCTCGCGCAGCACGGCTGTCGAGCCAGGTGCCGCTCACCCCCCCCTCTTCCTCGAGGGAGGGGGGGGGGTAGGGGGCAACTGCTGGAAGGTCTTCGTCGGACGGATGAGGGAGGAATGAGCCCCATTGGAAGGGCTATACTGCGCCCGATCAGGCCGCGGATGTAGCGGGATTGCAACAGATCAAGCGGAATCGAGCCGGATCGAGTAGAATGCAGCCGGATTGAGCGGGATTTCTGGCCAGGGCAAATCCAGAACTTGACCCCCAAGGAGTGGCAGCCGAAGGGGGGGGGGGAGGAAGGCCCTGCACCTCCCTCTGCCCCCTCCTCCTCCTCCTCCTCCTCCTCCTCCTCCCTCCTCATCCTCCCTCCTCCATCCTCCCCTCATCCTCCTCCTCATCCTATTCCTCACTCCTCCTCCCTCCTCCTCCTACTCCTCCCTTGCCCTCCTCTCCTGACTCCTCCTCCTCCTCCTCCTCCTCCTCCTCCTCCTCCCTCCTCTCCTCCTCTCGCCACCGCTCAAACGTCCATTCCCTGTGCATTTGTCGGTCTCGTGCGTGTGCTTTTGCGCAAGGTGGCCCAACATGGTCCTCGATGGTCCTTGCCGAGGAAAAAGGCGAGCCCACGTCCGACCGATGCCAAGTCCTTGAACCTCGGGATCCACCTCGGGCATGTCCCCCTACAGGCGGATTTTGGACGAAAAATAAAACATACCCAACAATTATCCCAGCAAACATTCAAAAATGATGAAACAATCGTCCCCCTATTATTGTTGTTGACTATTTTGGGATCTTCCCGCTGTAGAGGGACAGGCCCGACTTAAGGCTACCAGTGGGACCCACGGTGCGCAGCGGCGGTCGCCCTCCGGAGGCGATGGCATCGCAGGGAGGAAGGAACCTGCAAGGCCCCGGACGAACACGAAGCCTGATCCGATCCTGGACGCGGAGTGAACCTGATACGGCATGTTCGTGTCGTGACGACCCCGGCGCTGGTTTCTGACACCGCGGGGATCGTTCAACCTTGAACGATCGGCCGTTTCCGAAACGTCCAAATCGTTCCACGTCGAACGATTCTGGGTCGCCCGCGGCGTTCAAAGTTGAACGCCGCTGGCGGAGTCGCCGCTGGTCGACACGACACGAACCTATACCGTACATCAGTTCAAGCTCTGCTGCTGCTGCTTCGTTTGCCACGCACCGGCAGAAGGAGAAGGGGGAGGACGCACCCAGGGGAGAGAGGAGTGCACGACGGGATGTTTGGCAACTTTTGTATACTTTTGGGGTATGTTTTAGTTTTTGGCCCAGATTCCCCCTGCAGTGGGACACGCCCGACTTAAAGTCTGCTCTCCGTGCAGCTGCACCTCGCCAACGGCGCTCCGGGGGATGCCCGGGTCGTGCCCCGGAACGGCGCCCCGGAGCGGCCGCTGGAGACCCGAGCCGTGGACCCCGAACCAGGTCGGCGGGGGAGGGGCCCAGACCTCGTGGCCTCGCCTCGTCGTGGGGAAAGGAGGAAGAAGCCAAAAGCATGGGGGAAAAACAAAACTGCCAAAAACTGTGATATAAAAACAGACAAGACAAATGTGTAGATACGTATACACATCCATAAGTAAATAGTTGAATAATAAAATAAATAAATAAATAAATAAATAAACAACTAAATAAATAAATACATACATAATTAAATAAATAATACATAAAATAAATAAATACATAAATAAATAAATAATCCAGTAACAATCAGACAAACGTACACACATATATATATACACATATATATACATATATATATATATCTATAATATATATATATATATATATATACATATACCGCAAGAGAGAGAGAGAGAGAAAGAAAAACAAAAACAAAACAAAAAAAAGAGATGCGGTAGGCCTGCGGCCGCTCTCTCGGCCTCCAGCGCCCCTGCAGGGCCCCACGGACGGCCAGGTAAAGCGGCACTCGGGAGAGCAGGCCCGGCCTCGAAGGAGGGGCCCAGACCCGTGGGGGGGGGGTCCACGTGGCGGAAAAAATGCACGACGTCGGAGCTCTGGGAAGGAGGGGAAGAGGGGAAGGAGCGCCGAGCGAGGAGGAAAAGGAGGAGGAGGAGGAGGAGGAGGAAGAGGAGGAGGAGCAGGAGAGGGGGGAGGCGGGGGGGAGGGAGAGGAGAGGAGGGGAGGGAGGCGGGAGAGGGAGCAAGGTTGGCGGCATGCATCGGGAAGGCTTCTCAGAAGGCAGGGGGCCCTCGTTAGAAAGCCCTCCACCCAAGCTTCAACGAGGGCCTCTTGGAAGCCCAGGGGGGCACTTCAGAGGAGGCCCCTGCCTTTCTAGGAGCCCCGCTCTTTCTTAGAATGCGATCCCCCTTACGCTACCCCTCTGTTCGTGCGCACCACCCAGAAGGGGGAGGAGGAGGAGGAGGAGGAGGAGGAGGAGGAGGAGGAGGAGGAGGAGGAGGAGGAGGAGGAGGAGGAGGATCGGGAGTGGCAGCAAGGTCCCGCTGAGAAAGGTCCGTCTTCAACGAAGGCAAGCGGCCCCCGTGCCGTCTTCATCGGTCTGCTATTCTGATGTTCGGGGGGGGCGCACGTGCGAAGCCGACCATGTGCAACGAACAGTTGTAGCAATACCCAAAAAGGAGTGGGAGGAGGAGGGGGGGCGTGTCTCTGTTCGGGGCAGGAAGTAAGAGACAGAGGAGGACAAGATGGAGCTGAAGCCATAATCAAAAAACGCCACCCGCTGCTGCTGCTGCTGCTCCTCCTCCTCGTTCTCCTCCTCCTCCTCCTCAGCAGCAGCAGCCGCCGCAGCCGCATTATCAGCATCATCATCATCATCATCATCAGCATCATCACCATCATCCGCATCACAATCGTACTCATCATCATAAGCATCATCAGCATCATCATCATCATCATCATCATCATCAGCAGCATCAGCATCACCATCATCGTCACTATTATTGTCATCGTCATCAGTCTCGTCATACTCATCACCAGCATCAGCATAATCATCATCACCACCATTGTGATGACCATCATCATCATCAGCATCATCATCATCATCACCAGCATCATCACCATTATCCTCGTCGACGTCGTCAACAACGAAATCGTCGTCGTGTTAGTAGGTATCAGCAGCATCATCATCAGCATCAGCATCAATACCATCATGCGCGTCATCATCATCATCATCATCACCACCAGCATCATCGCCATCATCATCAGAATCATCAGCATCATCATGTTCATCGGGCGTAGCATCGTCATAGGCGGCTTCGACGTCATTATCATCATCATTCTCAGCACCATCATCATCGTCAGCATCATCAGCAGCATCATCAGCATCGAGAGTAGCATCATTATGAGCAGCAGCATAAAGTGCGACATCGACATCACCATCAACATGAAGGCAAGCATCGTCGTCATCACCGCCATAAGCATGGTCGTCACCGTCAGCATCCTTATCACCAGCACCAGCACACCCAACATCATAAGCATCGTCATCGCCATCGTCACCGTCAGAGGTATCAGCACCAGGATCAGCATCAAAATCATCATCGTCACCATCATCATCGTCATCATCAGAATCTTCATCGGGCGTAGCATCATCATGAGCAGCATCATCATGGGCGGCTTCGACGTCATCATCGTCATCGTCATCCTCATCACCATCAGCATCAGCATCATGAGCATCAGCATCAGCATCATCATCATCAACAGCATCATCATCATCATCGGGAGTAGCATCATCATGAGCAGCACCATCATAGGCGGCATCGACATCATCATCAACATGAAGGCATGCATCGTCGTCATCCTCGACATGAACATCGTCGTCACCGTCAGCATCATTATCATCAACATCGGCACATCCAACATCATGATCATCGTCATCCTCATCGTCACCGTCAGAGGTATCAGCACCAACATCAGCATCATCATCATCAGCAGCATCGTCGACAGTGTCAGCATCATCGTCGTTGGCATCACCATCGTCCACCATCATCGACATCATCATCATCATCATCATCATCATCATCATCATCATCATTGTCATCATCCTCATCATCATCCTCATCCTCATCATCATCATCATCATCATCATCATCATCATCATCATCATCTTCATCATCATCATCATCATCATCATCAGCATCATCATCATCATCATCATCATCATCATCATCATCATTATCATCATCATCCTCAACATCAGCATCAGCAGCATCAGATCATCGTCGCCGTCATCATCATCATCATCATCAGCAGCAGCAGCTACCTCCTCATCATCATCATCATCATCAGCAGCAGCTACCTCATCATCATCATCATCAGCAGCAGCAATAGCAGCATCCACATCCTCGCCACCAGTATCATCATCAGCAGAAGCATCATCATCATTAATATCTCCATCAGCTGCATCATCATCACGATCACCATCAGAAGCATCGTCATCACCATCATCATCAGCAGCAGCAGCACCATCATCATCGACAGTATCATCATCGTTAGCATCATCTGAATCATCATCATCATCCTCGTCATCATCATGACCATCATCAGCAGCAGCGACATCGTTAGCATCAGCATCAACGTCAGCATCGGCATCAGCATCAGCGTCAGCACCATCACCATCATCATCATCATCATCATCATCATCATCATCATCATCATCATCATCATCATCATTACCATCATCATCATCATCATCACCATCATCATCATCATCATCATCATCATCATCATCATCATCATCATCATCATCATCATCATCATTATCATCATCTTTATCATCAGCATTATCATCACATGGCATCATTGTCAACATAATCATCACCATCACCATTCGAATCATTCACAGCAGCAGCAGCAGAAGCAGCGTCGTCGTTCGTCGCCATCGTCGTCGTCATAAATGTGTCGTCGCCTCCTCCTCCTCCTCCTCCTCCTACTCCGGTTCTTCAAGCTCCTCCTCCTCCTCGTCCTCCTCCTCCTCCTCCTCCGGTTCTTCA